GCCCCTGCCAGCCCAGCCCTGCCGGTGCCCCTCCACTCCTCGACCCGCAGCCCCTGCCAGCCCAGCCCCGGGCTCTCCCCCCCCCCCGTGCCCCTCGCTCCTTTCCATCTGAGCTTCCCCTCGGTTTTGGGTTTCTGGCCCGTGTGTGTTTTGTGGTCAGGGGCGCCCTCGAGTGGCCGCGTCTGGCACGGTCCCGATGCGCCTGCAAACGGACCAGGCTTGGGCCAGGGGTCTGCTGGGGCCTGGCCCCCCAGAGGGGAAAGTCCAGGAGGGGGGAGGGGTGGGGACTAGTTGAGGAGCCCCCCTCCCCCACTTGCTAAATGGTTAGTGGGACGGAGCCTGTGCCCGTGGGAAGGGGCGGTTCGAGGAAAGCAGGATCGGGCCCAGACCAGCCGGCAGGCGACAGACACAGCAATTGGAAAACTCGCTGGAGTAAGGGAAGGAGTCAGAATTCGGATCCCTGGGACAATCCTGGGAATGGTGAAATGTGCGCGGACGGAGGGGTCGTTTTGGGAGCTAAGCCAGCGATGGAAGGAAAGCGAGTGACCTCGGCAGTGCCGGGAGGGAATTAAGCCGTTGAACTTTGTGAAAACGTTCAATAGGAAAAGTGTCATCGAAAGAGACGTCTTGGTGTCTTTGCAGCCCTTCTGAAGGGAAAACGACATCCCAAAGGAATGTCTGCAAATGGGGCACACACAAAAAGCAGTGTTAGAAACCCTGAGCCAGAGGTGGGGCCATGAGCACAAAAGAAACAGTTACCCCGGATGTAAAAATGGATCTGGCTAATATAATGTTACAGACGAATATAATGCACTGCTCCAACTAGGGACCGAGTGGCTAGGCAGCAGTTCTGCAGAAAAGGACCTAGGGGTTAGAGTGGATGAGAAGCTGGATATGAGTCAACAGTGTGCTCTTGTTGCCAAGAAGGCTAATGGCATATTGGGCTGTATAAGTAGGGGCATTGCCAGCAGATCGAGGGACGTGATCATTCCCCTCTATTCGACATTGGTGAGGCCTCATCTGGAGTACTGTGTCCAGTTTTGGGCCCCACACTACAAGAAGGATGTGGACAAATTGGAAAGAGTCCAGCGGAGGGCAACAAAAATGATCAGGGGGCTGGAGCACATGACTTATGAGGAGAGGCTGAGGGAACTGGGATTGTTTAGTCTGCAGAAGAGAAGAGTGAGGGGGGATTTGATAGCAGCCTTCAACTACCTGAAGAGGTTCCAAAGAAGATGGATCTAGATTGTTCTCAGTGGTGGCAGATGACAGAACAAGGAGCAATGGTCTCAAGTTGCAATGGGGGAGGTCCAGGTTGGATATTAGGAAACACTATTTCACTAGAAGGGTGGTGAAACACTGGAATGGGTTCCCTAGGGAGGTGGTGGAATCTCCTTCCTTAGAGGTTTTTAAGGCCCGGCTTGACAAAGCCCTGGCTGGGATGATTTAGTTGGGGTTGGTCCTGCTTTGAGCAGGGGGTTGGACTAGATACCTCCTGAGGTCCCTTCCAGCCCTGATATTCTCTGAGTCTATGAGAAGTTAAACTACGGCAGGAATGTGCCTTTTCCCCAGGCCGTGTGCAGTGTATATTGGAGAAGGGGTACAAGAAATGCGAACCAAACATGCGACTCCAAAGGGAGCCACCATCGGTTGGGTTTTCGTTTTCAGCTCGCTGGGTGTTTTGGAAGCAGGAATTGAACTCGAACCTCGGGTGGAAGTTGCTCATGTCCCATTTAAGGCCGAGTCTCTGAGCTCTGCTGAGGGCTTTGGCCCCAACAGCAGGCCAGAAAGTGTCTGTGTGGATGCAGATTACCTAAGTGAGGAAGGAAGGAGAGAACGGCCCAGAAACAGATAATGAACAGACCTGGCCAGCAAACAAACGACCTGAAAGCCAAAGGCTCAAATTATGACCCTCTAAAGGAAGGTGGGAAAAGGAGTCAAATCTAAGACAGGTTAAATAAAAAAATCGATACTTTTGTGTGTGTGTCTGCCGGGCTGAAAGCTGAAGACAGGTTACATGCCGGACACCCCATCTTTTAATTCACCCAACCCCCAAGGATATAATTCAATTAAAGCCCGTGCAAAGATTTCAAAAGAACAACGAACACACTGACCTCAAAACCAGACGGTCTAACTAAAAGACATGGCATAACAAGAGACTTGGAATAGAGCTGATGTTAATATTAAACCCCGGGCTACATTTCATGTTAATAAGCACCCCTGTAATAATGCCTAGTGTGTATGATTTGGGGGAAAACGCCTTTAAGGTCAGAGGGTAATAACGCTTCTCAGCTATTACCGGTGAATAAACTTAAAGTTTAGCACAGCAGAGAAAACATTACAAACTCGGTCTGCTGTATAAGAAGGGAAACTGAGGCATGCCACCCTGTGAATTTAATAACTGAGAAGTGAGATAATTGCAACCTGGCCAGCCTATAGAACGGCCACACAGGGAAGTATGGGGTTAATGTCTCTGTTCTGCCTGCAATCCGCAAGGCGATTTGTAACAGGAAGGGATATTTGAAGCAGTAATCCGCCACCCCCAAAGGGGTGGAAACAGGGGCTGTTGGGCTTTCAGAAAATCAGGAAAAGCCGGTACCAGCGGCCGAGCCACCCAGAATAGCACGAATCCACTGTCCCCACAGCGATGGTGTTTGGTGGTTTGTCTTGTTGCCAGGGGACTGGCGGAGGCCCGGCTCCCCGCCCTCGTGTGCGGTGTCAGCTCTCGCTGGGACTGACCGAGCGGCACTAAGGACTGGGAACCTTAAGAGCCAGCTGCAAAACCTTTTGGGGTGTGTGGGGGTGTGTGTGTGTGCGGGGTGTGAGGTGTGTGTGTGTGCGGGTGTGTGGCTGCGTGTGGGTGTGGGGTGTCTGGGGTGGGTGTGTCTGAGTGCGGGTGTGGGGTGTGTGGCGTGTGTGTGAGGTGTGAGGTGTGTGCACGCGCGGGTGTGGGTGTGTGGCTGGGTGTGTGGGGTGGGTGTGGCTGGGTGTGGGGTGTGCGGGGTGGGTGTGGGTGTGTCTGTGTGCGGGTGTGGGTGTGCAGGGGGGTGGGTGTGGGGTGTGAGGTGTGTGTGTGCGGGGTGTGTGTGGGGTGTGAGGTGTGTGTGTGTGCATGCAAGGGTGTGGGTGTGTGGCTGTGTGAGGGGTGTGTGTGTGCGCGCACGCGGGTGTGGGTGTGTGGCTGTGTGTGGGTGTGGGTGTGTGGCCGGGTGTGGGTGTGTGGCCGTGTGTGTGTGTGGGGTGTGCAGGGTGTGTGTGTGTGTGTGCGGGGTGTGTGTGTGGCTGTGTGTGGGTGTGGGCGTGTGGCTGTGTGGGTGTGCAGGGTGGGTGTGTCTGTGTGTGGGTGTGGGGTGTGCGGGGTGTGTGTGTGTGAATAGAAGCATATGCTGATTTCTGTGCTTAAATTGTACTCTCAAGAACCGTGGGGTGTTTCCTTCTCCCCTTTAAAAAGATTCCGGGTGCTTCTTATAAACACAACAACCGTGATACCTATGTTCCACCAATCACATCCCCCCGGCGCCTACGTTTCACCAATCACGTCCCCCCGGCGCCTACGTTCCACCAATCACGTGCCCCCCGGCGCCTACGTTCCACCAATCACGTGCCCCCCCGGCGCCTACGTTCCACCAATCATGTCCCCCCGGCACCTACATTCCACCAAACACATCCCCACGGGACCTACCTTCCACCAATCACGTCCCCGCCACCGCCTCGGTGGCTGACCGCGCCTCGCTCCGTTGCGGTGACTTTCCCGGGGCATCGCCCCCGTCGGCTGGTGCAGGGGTCCCCGATCTCGCGGGGACCAGTCGCCTCGCAGGGCGCCCTCGACCAGGCCTGCGTGCGAGGAGAAAAAAAAGTGCCTCTTCTTCCCCCCCCATGCGGCTCGGGGGCTGCCCGGCGCCGTCCGGGTGCTGTACCAGATGTCCCGATTTTATAGGGACAGTCCCGGTTTTTGGGGCTTTTTCTTATATAGGCTCCTATTACCCCCACCCCCGTCCTGATTTTTCACACTTGCTGTCTGGTCACCCTAGGGTGCTGGGTGCAGATGACGTCGCTGCTCCCCGGGACGGTGCCCGAGGCGGGGAAGTGGTTGGCCATAAACAGGCCTGGTGGAGCTGGATTAAGCTCCCGTCTCTTGGGCTTGGCCCGCCGCCCGCTTCCTTGTTTGCTCTGCTCAGGCGCTTGGCTCCTCGGCTGCTGACACAAGGGGGTTGGTTTCCCTGGAAGCCGGGTCCTTCCTCGTTCCCCGCTCACAGGCCGCCCTGTCCCCGCCGTGCCCCTGGCCCGCAGGTTTCGAGGCTGAGGTCCAGGGTGCAGCTATGCGGCCCCCGTCCCCACCCTGGTTCTGGTTCCTTCTCGCCTGCCCCACCGACCGGGCGGCGCTCATCTCCGAAACAGCTTCCCTGTCCGCCCCCTTCCCTGGGGGACCCCATCCCGCATTGGCCCAATGGCCTCCTGGAGATGGGGGGGGCATCGGAGGGGCAGCCCCCCAGTCCTGCTGGTGCCCCTCACTCCCGACCCGCAGCCCCTGCTAGCCCAGCCCTGCCCTGCCCCCCCAGCCCTGCTGGTACCCCTCACTCCCGACCCACAACCCCTGCTAGCCCAGCCCTGCTCTGCCCCCCCAGCCCTGCTGGTACCCCTCACTCCCCACCCGCAGCCCCTGCCAGCCCGGCCCTGGGCTCCCCGCATGACAATCAGGGTCCAGACACCCCAAGGGGAGAACAGGGGGTGGCAGACACTGGTGATAGACGTTCCCACCCGTTGCGCCCGGTCTCTCACGGGCGCACGGGCCACTCGGCGCTTGCCGGCCCCCACGGGGGGGGGGGAGTTGTGGCCTCTCCCCACGTCGCCAGGTGGGGCTGATTGTTGCACGGAGCACCCAGCACCACCCAGCCTAGCGCCGGGCCCTGCTGGTGCCAGGCGAGCCGCGGGGCAGGCCAGGCCCCCTCTCGCTGAGGGGCGCGGGGGCCGCCGCTCTTAGCCCCGGGCACTGAGCCGGGCGAAGCCGGAGGTTGGGGCTTTGGGACGTTACGTCCGCGGTGGGTCCCCTGCCCGCTCTCGCCTGGGCCCCTCTGGTTTCTTCTAGTCCGTGTGCCGGTTGTTTGGTTTGCCCCTGGGGCCAGTCCCAGCGGCTGGAGGGTGGGGGCCACGGTGAGCTGATAACGGGGGTGGGTTTTGCTCCTTGGGGGGGTGATGGACTGGAGGGGGGAAGCCGGAGTGCCCAGCAGTTACAAATATGGGGGGGAAGATGGGGGGGGGGGCCCTGGCACACCAGGGGGGAGGCAGATGGGGAGGGCCCTGCATGGTGGGGGAGAGGCAGATGGGGGGGCTCCGCACGGTGGGGGGGAGGTAGATGGGGGCGCTCTGCATGGCGGGGGGAGGCAGATGGGGGGCCCTGCACGCTGGGAGAGAGGCAGATGGGGGCGCTCTGCATGGTGGGGGGAGGTAGATGGGGGCGCTCTGCACGGCGGGGGGGAGGCAGATTGGGGGAACTTTCTGTGCGCTCCGAGCCACAGTGGGGCAGCACCAAATCTCCCCCCCCAAGTTACAAGGTGGGGGGGTTTAGGCCCCCCCACATTGCTGGTGATCTCCGAGACCTCCCCGTGCGGAGGTGGCTGGGGGCGGAGGACACCCCCCCACACACACTCCCCCGCTGGGCACCCAGGCCCGGCCGGCCCCTCGCGGAGGCCAGAGCCAGGGACCAAAAAGTCCAAGGTCCCGGCTGGCTGAGGGGAGGGGCCCTCGGCCGTGGGGTGGGGGGGGAGTGTGTGTGGGGGGGTGTCCTCCGCCCCCAGCCACCTCCGCACGGGGAGGTCTCGGAGATCACCAGCAATGTGGGGGGGGCCTAAACCCCCCCACCTTGTAACTTGGGGGGGGAGATTTGGTGCTGCCCCACTGTGGCTCGGAGCGCACAGAAAGTTTCCCCCAATCTGCCTCCCCCCCCGCGTGCAGAGCGCCCCC